GACAAAAATCATTAGGCTATTAAATAAAGATCATGTTCCATAAAGATATTTTGTAAATTTCCTACTGTAAATATATTAAAACTTAATTTTTGATTAGTAATATGCATTGCCACGAAGTTCATTTGGACAACTTTAAAGGCGATTTTCTCAATATTTTGAATTTTTGCACCCTCAGATTCCAGATTTTCAAATAGTTGTATCTCGGCCAAATATATCGGCCCTATCCTAACAAACCACACATCAATTGAAAGCTTATTTATTCAGCTTTCAGATGATGTATAAATCTCAATTTAAAAAAATTTACCCTTATGACTGGTTTTGTGGTCCAGGGTCACATATTGTGGTCACACATAAACTGTGATTTTTTTCAGAAGTCTTTGATGAGTAGAAATTTCAAAAGTATGTGAAACAGTGTGAAAGCCTTTGCTGTCACTTTGATCAATTCAATACATCTCAATAAAAGTGTAAGATATCATACTGACCCTAAAATCTTGAATGATCCCCATCTCATTGCATGGCTATGTATAACAGTCTGATTTCTACTGCTTTCTGTCCCGTGCTTTCTGTGATTCTGAAACACATCCAAGACTCATTTGCTCATTTGTTCAAATCATCATAATTGGCAAATAGTGTGAGAAGATCAGAGGTCTGGCTGAAGTCCACTCGACCCCATGAACATACTGTACACTCAATTCGGCAATCCAGTGTAGGCACGACAGATGAGTGTTCTGCATTTTTCCTTCTTTCTTTTAGGTCTCTTTCTCCCTCTTTCATCATGTTTTGTCAAGCTATGCTACCCACCAAGGTCTCCCCCACCACTGTGTTGACAGATGCCTAGCTGGAACAAGAAACTGACTTCAAACATCCTCAGAAGTAGGTTAATAATTTACTACTTATTAGGCATGTGCTGCTTATGTATGAAGCTATTCAGTTCTGTGGTATTGTGTTCGAATCACTCAACACACCTAATTAGAAAACTTTTCTGTTTATCAGATGGAAGGGATAACACATTTTGGTAAATCTGTTAATTTTTACATTTACTTATACATGTTTAAACTCAAAAGTTGTATCTGTTAACATTAGTTAATGCACTGTAAACTAACTTGAATAAGCAATGAACAATTATATTTTCATTAACTAACATTAACGAATGTAAATAAATGATTTAAAATGTATTGTTCATAGTTAATGTTAACTAATGTTAAGAAATTAGACAATTATTATAAAGTGTTTATTAAAAATGCTTAGCCTAAAACTTTGAAATTTCACCTCAAACATTCTGATTAGTAATTATTTGATAATATCAATCTTACATTTATTGTATGGAAGCTTCATGGAGAGAATTCAATATTTTCCTTACGTTTAATGTAAATGATACAGCAGGATTGCAGTGCTGTTAAATTTTTAAATATCAAAGTTTAAATATCAAAGTTTGGACAACTTTCCAAACTTTCCACGCTTGCTAATGTGTGGTTTCACAGGATGTCACCAGAGCCTGCGGAATATCTTCCACAGTCATAATAGGCAAAGCATGTGCATTAACAGAGTGGAAAAAAATGTTATGGTTATCTGAGCGGTTCCTGTCAATGTGTGCGCTTCAAACACAGGATATGTTTTTATGTTATTTTTACCCTATCCCCCCTGCTGTTGCAGTACATTCGGTTGCTTTTGTCAGGATCATGGTTACCTGTCACATTGCTAAGAGAGGCACTACAAAACACAGTGCTCTATACAGATGGAGTGTGGCGCTGATGAAGATTCCAGAACCTCCTGCTACACCCACTTCCTTTCTCTTTCCCTTTCTATTTCCCTCTGGGCTATCTCGGTTTTTCCCACAATTTACAAGCCCTTTAACACCACTGCATCACAAAGATAACCCGCTTATTGCTAGGCCACACCAACATGTTCATCACTGCACTGGGTGGTCCCCCTGTATTATGGGGCATTTGGGTGACGCCATGTTTTTCCTGCAGGTTTTCATTAAAGAGATAAATGGGTCAATAAGAGAGAGAGACAACAGAAAACTGAACATTTATCATAAGTGTACAACATATTATCTCTCTGCATTGAGGAGTACAGGGATTACAAAGAATTCATCAAGGTCACCTTTATCCACTGGTGGTTTCCCTTATAAAGTGCATATTGTATTAGAATGCAGTGCAGTCCAAAGGTCTACATTAAAAAAATCTGTGATTTCACCTGGATATAAAGAGTTTTATGGTATTTTTTATTTTTGGTATTTATGTATTTTTAGGTGCAAATACACTCTGTAAGTTTTTTTCCAGTTCAAGCTTTCACTCATTTTATGCTAATAGTTTAATTTGCAGTGTAAACATTTCTATTACTGTAGAAAAATGCAAAATATAAACATTTTGTTTGTAGTCCTCAACTTGCAAACGCGACTTGAGAACACTATTTTATTCATTCTCTTCTCTTCCAGAGTTTTATGATCTGTAGAATATTGCATAAGTGGATTAATCCAGGCTCAGCAGTTGAAGTTTACAGCAGCTCTAATAGCAGTCCCAGATGCTCTCCTCCATGCTGAACAATTGGCTTTTATGCGCATAATACACATGGGAATGGCCCGTCGTATTTTGAGCAGTTTGTGGTGCTGAAAGGTATTTTATTTTTAAAATCAACCTAAAAGTCAAGGAGACAGCATGATTCAGATACATCTCTTCTAGACCAGCTTTTAATGAAAGTGCCATGTGCCTCAGATTTACAGAAGCTCTCTGTTTTCCAGGGGAGCAAGCGTATGTACTGTATTTATATAAATCCTTTTCAGCCCCGCCCCCCTGTCTGATAAATTTCTTCTTGAGATCAAACAGGGAATCCACAAATCTCACTAGTATGCCTGTAAGCACGGCTGTCAGAGTAACGTGGTCAAGTCCCACAAACATCTTTTTGATTGTTGCCCACCATAACTCTCTCTACAGGCCTTCTTTTAACCATTTTCTAAACCAATTCTGAGTTCAGTGTTATTCGACAACAAAACAAACTTGGTAAATGTCATTGCACTGAATGTCCTGAATTAACTGGCACTGGATGTTGATTACAGCTTTGCATTTCAGCACATTTGCTTCAAGAATTAATCCTGTGTTAATGCGCATTTAACGGTGGACCTTTTTTGCTCCAGTTGAGCAAATCAAAACAGAGCATCTAAATGCATTTGAAAGTGTGCTAATTTCACTGTCTCACCCGCCTGCTGGAGGACCATAGACCTGGAAAGAGAAGTATCAATTACAAGGATCAGAGTAAAACTCATTTATCTTTGCAGCAGACCGCCTGCACTGCTCTCCTAAAGCCTGGTCATTAGAGGGGCCTCATTGGAGCCCAGGGTCAGAATCCTGATCAGGTCAGTGCCTGAGCAACATCATTTAGACCCATTCAAAGCCAGAAATTCCACCACTGAAATTCCTACTAAGAGACAAATTTATGATACCCTGCAGATAAAAGACATGGCTGTTTGAGTATAACGTTGAAGGAAATGATTTGCTTGGCTTCGAACGGTGGAAATAATGGTATGTACCTGCCTGAATTTCATGGCAAAGCTGAGAATTAAATTTGAATTTTGCTGGATTTCTAAGAGGACATTGTCGAGACTCTTGAGAAACACATATTAGATCACACAGTTCTGAGGAATTTTTGTTCAATGTGAATAATTTCACATGATTCCTTTGATGATGTCATGCAATCAGATAGTTTTGGACAGGTCTCATATGAGTACAACATGATAATACTTCTAAAGCCAGCTGAGTGACCTGATGAGGTGACAGCTAATGGGAGTATAGACTGTTATAGAATAAATCATTGGAGGTTGCCCGGTTTGTGTTGTTGGTTTCTTCTCAACTGCTTCAAAGGTTCAGAATACCTGTCTTCACTTCCATAAGTTTTCACATTGCATCACTGCTTATTTGCATCTTTTTGGGAATCCCACTTCTGATTGATAATGAATGAGTTCAGATCGCTTTGTTGCTGCAAATTACTGACAGCGTGAATGCTCGTTAAAAGCTGTGCTGCTCAACACTGATCAAACACACTGCACAGAGAAGTAAGACGGGCATGGTGAGGGAATAATGCATGGCAACATGTGTGTTTTAAAATGTGTTTTAAATGTAAATGAATCAAATAATCAGGTGGAAAACAGACAAACTTATGATATAGGCATACAGTCTTTTTGTTTGAACAAGGATGACCCCTGCTCCTAAGAGGTACATGCAAGTTCTGTTAAAACATTGTGGACAGAAGATAAATCCGTCATGGTGTCAATTTCTAAAAGCCCAAAGCAGGCTTGGCTTTGAAGTGGAAAACCAGAGTGCAAAAGCAGCAATTTAACAAGACAAACAAAACCAACTCCTATATGTAGTGAGGAACTCTTCTGAGTTTGGTTTGTTTGTGGTGTAAAGAATTTCACACAAGTGTTTGAGAAACCCAGCTGAGCTTTCCAGACATGCCTAGAGATTGATGCCATGTTTTATCTAAGATTAACAAGAGCTACAGCCTTTACTGTATTAAGGAGTAATGCTAAGGTGGCTGTCCATACTATTTACTTGGACATACAATAAAACGAAAGCTTATAAATAATATTAAAGTAGAATAAAATGACACAAGGGTTAGTTAAATTGATTTATTAAGAATGTAATGAATATATTTGTTTTGATTGCAGTTTGGGAGTCCGTCATGCAAAGTACATTTTTACTATGTATTCACGACTACATTTATTTATTATGTAATTATTTTCATTAAATACTTTAAGCAATGTCTAAATGCATGGATATTCTAATGCATTTTCAAGTTTTCAGTAAATATCGTGGTATTTTTATGATGGTAATTAATGGTCTAATGGTTAAGGTTCTTATGTTCTTATGTCAAGGTTGTATGAACGGGCTGCTTCAGAAAGTAGGTACCCGTACGTATGGAGGTCTCCAACTTTGTCCCTCCCCTTTCTTAACACTCTCTAAGCTGCACTGTGTAGGCTTGATAAGGCAAGTTAGTTGTCTGCACCTTCTAACCTATGGACGCACGGAAGAACATGACTCCAGCGAGGTAAAACTTGAGTTTTTTTAACGCTTTTGATTTTGTAACGTCAGCAAACGAGCGCTCCTCACGTGTATTATCCTATGCTCTGCAAAGCAACCAAAAACAAGTTTAATGTTGCAGTGGCATATTTGTAAAGTTAGACGACCGACAACATTGCACATTGTTTATTTATTTATTTATAGTTTTAGTTTTGTGCAAATCAAAAGTTGAACTGAAACAGAACTGGTGCTGCGTTTGGTAACTTACTTGAGCGCGCGCTTGAGGTGTCTTTCATATCCATTAGTTAATCTGTGACAGCGCTTACCATCATTTACCATGGTAACCACGGATTTCGCCAAAATGTCCGTTATTTTGTTATTGCTACTTCTGTAAAACAGTAATAATTTCTCGAGTAGTTTTAAAAACAACATGACAGTGTTGGGTATAGTTACCACTTTTTTTTTTACCGCGTTTTGGTGGAAATTGTGGTTACTAGTAATTTTTATAGCTGCAAAGTTTGTGAAGCACATGCCATCTTCTTTGTAATTTTCATAAAGTTTGCCTCATATAATTTTATATGCTTAGATTGATAGAGTAGGCTACATGTATATTTATAATGTAATGAAAATGAATAGTTTGGGGGTTATTTCTGTAGACGGTTAAAGGGATAGTCCAAAACATAAAAATGATTTCATAATTTACCCACCCTCGTTCCAAACCGGACTGTCTTTTTTTGTAGAACATTCTGTAGAACAAAAAAATAAATAAACACTATTAATAAAGACTAAAAGATTCACCATAAATATTTAACTAAAGTGTGTAGCCTATAATGCACTATTTTTGAAGTCATGGTGCTTGTGTTTGAAATAGAGCCTTATTTATGTTATCTTTCAAGAATTTCTCCAATCAGTGAGTTGAGAACTAGATCAATCTGATTCATGAACAAAGCATTCAGACCACTTTTACTGTAGCTTTATGGTGAATTTGCATCTTTTTAAAAGCTTGAGTCAGTTACCATTCATTAACATTCTTCAAATTTCACTTTTTGTGTCCCGCAGCCCTTACCAAAAAGTAGTATACTTCAAGTTTATTTTATTAAGTATACTTAAGTAAAGTTCAAGTATATTTTTAAGTATACTTTATGTAGCAAGTATACAAATATCAGTGTACTAGTAGTATACTTGTAAGTGTACTATTTCAATACTCCTTTGGCCCACTTTCTAGTATATAAAAGTATACTTTTGAGTATACTTTAAGTATAACAGTAGTAAACTTTAAGTACACAACAATATTTTTAGCTTGTACTGCAACTATACTAAAAGTGAACTTATATGAATACTGATAGTTTTCTAATTAAATACTTGTAGCATTTTTAGTACACTTTGAAGTATAGTCTTAGTAAACTTTAGTAGTTTTATACTGCAACTGCAAGTACACTCGTAAGTTTTCTTTAAGTGAACTTTACATCATACTTTAAGTATACTACTACGTCCCTATTTAGGTATTAATT